AAATAAAAAGTTATATATGTTATTGGGGTATATTAATAGTTCATTGCTTTTTATTATCTGGTAATACATTCCATTGTAAGGCTATATGACAATTTCTGCAGTCACTTTAGTTGAAGAACATTTGGATTATTCCAGTTTTAGGTTATTATAAATAAAGCTACTATAAACAACTGCACACAGATTTCTGAGTAAACATGTTTTCATTTATCTTTACTAACATCCAGTAGGAGGATTTCTGCTCTATATGGTCAGTACATGCCATACTGCTTTCCAAAGTGGCTGAACATTTTGCATGCCCAGCAGCAACGTAAGCAATGTAATTCCCACCAGAACGTTCCAGTTGTTCTGTATCCTTGTCATCATTTGATATAGCAAGCTTAAAAAAAAAAATCTTACCCATTCTAATGCGTGTGTACTCATACCTTTCTGTGGTTTTAACTTGCATTTCTCTAATGGCCAAGGTCTTGGGCAGTTTTTCATGTGTTTATTTGACTTCTGTATATCTCCTTAGGTCAAGTGTCTTTCTAAATCTTTTAACTATTTTTAAAATTAATTATTTTGTTTTCTTATTACTGAGTTTTGGGAATTTTTTTCAGACTCACTTTGTCACCCAAAATGGAGGGCAGTGGTGTAATCTCAGTTCACTGCAACCTCCACATCCCATGTTCAAGCGATTTTCCTGCCTCAGCCTCCTACATAGCTGGGACTACAGATGTGTGCCACCATGCTTGGCTAATTTTCATATATTTTTTTAGTGGAGATGTGGTTTTGCCATGTTGGCCAGGGTGGTCTCGAACTCCTGACTCAGGCGATCCACCTACCTTGGCCTCCCAAAGTCCTAGGATTGCAGATGTGAGCCACCCTGCCTGGGTGAGAATTTTTAATATATTATTTTAAAAATTCATTTTGTGTCCTTTTTATATATTTCTTTATCAAATATGTAGTTTAAAAATTTCTCTCCTAGTTTAGGGCTTGCCTTTTCACCTCTTAACAGTGTTAGAGAGAGAAATTTTAAATTATCATGAGGTGAAATTCATCACTTTTGTCTTTTATGGTTCATGAACTTTGTGCCCTGTCTGAAAAAATCTTTGCCTAACCCAAAGTCCCAAATATACAATCCATTTATTATTAAATTTTGCATATGGTCTAAGATACAGGTTGGAGTTCTTCTTCTTTTCACATATGGATGTCCAATTGTTCCAAGGGCATGTGTTGAAAAGACTAGCTTTTCTCCAGAGAATTGTCTTGCATATTATCAGAAATCAACTTATCACATTTATGGGTCTATTTCTAGATTCTGTATGTTCCACTGATTTATGTGTGTCTCCTTTATTGATGACTATAAAGAAAAGCAGTGTGAATCTTATTTTTTCTTCTTTTTCAAAGTTGCTTTGCCTATCCTTTGCCTTTGCATAGGCATTTTAGATTTAAAATGTAAATTTCTACAAAAATTGTACTTGGTTTTTTTTTTTCTTTTCTTTTTGAGACAGAGTCTCACTCTGTTTCAGGTGCCAGGCTGGAGTGCAGTGGTGCAGTCTCAGCTCACTGCAACCTCCGCCTCCCAGGTTCAAGGAATTCTCCTGCCTCAGCCTCCCAAGCTGCTGGAATTACAGGTGTATGCCACCATGCTCAGCTAATTTTTCTGTTTTTTAGTAGAGACGGGTTTCACCATGTTGGCCAGGATGGTCTGGATCTCTTGACCTCGTGATTTGCCTGCCTCGGCCTCCCAAAGTGCTGGGATTACAGGCATGAGCCACGGCACCCAGACGGGTTTGACTGTTTTTGCACAGAATCTACAGAACAATTTGAGGGAAACTGCCACTTAAAAAAGATTGAGGCCAGGTGTGGTGGCTCACGCCTGCAATCCCAGCAATTTAGAAGGCCAAGGGGGTGGATCACTTGAGGTCAGGAGTTTGAGACCAGCCTGACCAACACAGTGAAACTCTGTCTCTTTTAAAAACACAAAATTAGTTGAATGTGGTGGCACATGTCTGTAATCCCAGCTACTTGGAGGGCTGAGGCAGGAGAATAGCTTGAACCTGGGAGGCAGAGGTTGCAGTGAGCCAAGAACACACCATTGCACTCCAGCCTGGGCAAGAAGAGTGAAGCTCTGTCTCAAAAAAAAAAAAAGAAGAAGAAAAAAAAAAAGGAAATATTGAGACCAGGCATGGTGGCTCATTACTGTAATCCCAACAATTTGGGAGGTCAAGGTGGCAGAATTGCTACAGGCAAAGAGTTTGAGACCAGGCTGGGCAACATAGCAAGACCCAATCTCTGTAAAAAACAAAACAATTTGCTGAGCATGATGTTGTGGTTCTGTAGTCCTCACTACTTGGGAGGCTGAGACAGGAGGATTGCTCAAGCCCAGGAGGTTGAGGTTGCATTAAGCTATGATTGTGCTACTGCACTTCAGCCTGGGTGACTGAGAAGATCCCGTCTCTTAAAAAATTCTTTTGGTTCAGCAAGGTGGCTCATGCCTGTAATTCCAGCAATTTGGGAGGTTGAGGCAGGCAGATCACCTGAAGTCAGGAGTTCAAGATCAGCCTGGCTAACATGGTGAAATCCTGTCTCTACTAAAAATACAAAAATTAGCTGGGCGTAGTGGCGGGCACCTGTAATCCCAGCTACTTGGGAGGCTGAGACACAAGAATTGCTTGAACTCAGGAGGTGGAGGTTGCAGTGAGCTGAGATAGCGCCACTGCACTCCAGTATGGGCAATAAAAGTGAAACTCTGTCTCAAAAACAAATAAAAAAATTTTTTAATCTCCCTGTCCACCAACATGTTATGCCACCCCATTCATTTAGGTCATCTTCTTTTATTTTTTAATTAGTGTTTTGCAGGTCTTGTAAGTTTACCTTTATTTAAAAAACCATAAAAAATTATCAAACTGTTTTCCAAAATGGTGGTAATATTTTGCTTTCCCACCACACGAGTTTAACAAAAAAACATTATAGAAATGGGGAAAACTTAGAACGCATTGTTCTTATATCAAATAACAGTGTCCTGCAAATGTGTAGTTATGGTTGTATCATTCAAGAAGAAAATTATAGACTAGACAAGGTTTAGAAAGGGGAACCAATCTAATTGTTAACATAACAGAGGGAGATAGTGGAATGTTGAAGTTATAGAAGGATACATTGAAAAACTGAAATTATTCAGAGTGAAATGATAATGACAGATTACAAATAGAATTGGCAAAGAACAGCCCATATAAACAGAGCACAAACTTGCTCACTAAATAATGAAATATGAAATTGCTCTGGAAGTGGAATAAAGGTACCACCATGAAAAGAAGAATGTAAATTACGAAGTAATTGGAGATGATCCTATTTGCCAAAGGAAGGAAAATTTGATAATCACTAAGGTCTATAAATAAAATTGATTGAAAAAAATATGACTTAAAAATAAAAACCCTCAAATACTCAATAAACTAGGGTTAGAAAGGGTCCTTCCTCAGCCTGATTTTTTTTTTGGGGGGGGTAGGGGAGATGCAGTCTTGCTCTGTTGAGCAGGCTGGAGTGCAGTTGTATGATCTTGGCTCACTGCAACCTCTACCTCCTGGGTTCAACTGATTCTCCTGTCTCAGCCTCCTGAGTAGCTGGGATTACAGGCGTGCACCACCACATCCGGCTAATTTTTATATTTTTAGTGAAGAAGGGGTTTCACCATGTTGGCCAGGCTGGTCTTGAACTCCTGACTCCTGACTTCAGGTCATCCACCCACTTCGGCCTTCCAAAGTACTGAAATTACAGGCATGAGCCACGGAGCCCAGCCCTCAACTTGATTTTTAAAATGTAAGACTTATAAGCTACACAACACTGTAGGATTTCTTTTTTAATAAAATAAATGGAAAGACATTACCGTTCATGAATTTGAACACTTAATATTATAAAAATGTCAAACTCCCCAAGTTAATCTACAGAGGCAATGCAATCTTTATCAAAATTCCAGGTGACCTCTTTGCTGAAATTGACAAGCTGATACAGAAATTTATATAAAAATGCCAGAACACAGGCTAGCCAAAACAACCTTGAAAAAGAACAAAGTTGAAGAACTTAAACTTGCCAACTTCAAAAATAAAGTGCATTGGATATCACTGCAAGTTGATAATGAAACAATCTATTACATTGAAAATTAACAAATGACAAGGAAAAAAATTTATCCTGCCTTTCTTAAACAAAGTGAACCAGTGAATGTCCAAATAATAAATGGGGGGGGGTTCTTTTATGGAGGCATGTCAACTATTAAATGAAGGCAGTGTGTTAGAATATCAGCATTTTGCAATATCTAACGACTTAATAATGTACCAAACATTGACAGCTGCTAACATCATAAAAATGGAGGCTTTAAATATCTCCTAACAGAAGAAAACATCAGTACAAAGGAGAATTGTCTCCAAAAATTAGAAGTTTCTAGATCTAAACATGAATATGGAAATACTGAGGACAAAAGAACATGTTAAACACCACCATGAAGATGGAGGCAGCAGAATCTAGATTACAAAAACAATTTAGTTTCTTCCACAATGGAAAAATAAATAAATAAAACAAGGAAATGGAAGAGAAATCTAGAGATTAAGAGACTTAAGTAACATCTAACATTTGCTATACGTGAGCCTTATTTGAGTACTGATCTATACAAACTAGAGGAAAAAAACTAACAAAACCCCCCCACAAAATTGTAAAATTATTTATTCACAAAACAACTGGAAATTTCAACCTTTACTGCATTTTTTATAACATAAGTGTATTTTAATTATGTAAAATTAAATATGCTTTAAGTGTATGTGCATCCTTGTGCTTTTCCATAGGTGTAGCGGTGGTAGCTGGTTACATGAATAAGTTCTTTAGTGGTGATTTGTAAGATTTTTGTGTACCCATCACCTCAGCATTTACTGCATTTTAATGCTATCAAGGGATTTAATGCAATTAATTTTAATTTTTAAGGTATAATAATGGTATCATAATTTTTTAATGGGAATTAATATTTATAAAGGTTTTTTAAAAAAATTTTACTTTAAGTTCGGGGATACATGTGCAGAATGTTGAGGTTCGTTACGTAGGTAAACGTGCCATGGTGGTTTGCTGCATCCATCAGCCCATCACCTAGGTATTAAGCCCCGAATAATTATTTTTAAGAACAGTCCTTCCTTACTCTTTAGAGATATATAGTGAAATATTTTATAGATAAATACAATGTCTAGGATTTCCTTCAAAATAATATGGGGTAGGAGAGGTAGATGAGAGCATAGCTAAAACAAAACTGGCCATGAGTTAGCAATTGTTGAAACTGGGTGATGAGTACATAGGGGGGTTCATTATACTATAGCATGTACTTTTGTATATGTTATTTTTTTCCATAATAAAATATTGAAACTATCAGGGAATAAACTAAGAAATAAAAAACATGAAATCCAGGAATCTCGGGATCCAACAGGACAGAATGGCCCAAGGAAATTCAGGGTGACAGCTTTGTGCCATGCCTAAAGAAAAATCAGTTTAGATAGGAGCAAAACAGAAGGCTGTGGGAGGAAAATCTCCAGGAAAAAGAAAAAGATTATTTTATGTGCTTAGAAGACATGCTGGAAGTTGACAGATTGGTTGGAGTCTTTCAGTGAAAAAGCAGCAACAGCTATATAGAAAACCAAGCAGATGGGTAAAAAAATGAGTTATAAGGTAAACAAAAAGTTGACCAGGAAAGGAACCGTCAACTACTTGATTTAGTAGAGAATGTTAATTTATTTAGTCCATTAATTTAACATATTTAGTTAAGAATATAAACATAGACACTGAATTACCAAATAATTCAAATACTGGAAGGAAAATGGAAGAAAAGTGGTGTTAAAGGGTGTTTGCATTCTTGTTTTTTCATTTTTTAGTTATATGACTTGACAAGTTACTTAAGCTTTCCAAATACAGCTTAACATTTCCAAATACAGCTTCCTCATCTATAAAATGGATATTCTATCATCTACTTGTAGGACTGTTGAAAGAATTAAAAATAATACATCTAAGACACATGGTATAGTATCTTATATATAAAATATAATCATATAGCCAATAAAAATTATATATTTTAGTTACTGATACCAAAAAATGCCCTAACATAGCATTAAAGGGAAAAGGCATATTACAGAAGAGTGTGTGCAATATGACCCTATTTACATAAAATTGTCTATCTATCAAATCATCCTTCTTTATGTACTTAGTAGAGAAGCTATCTAGAGGGAAAGTTACGAAAGCACAACAGTTGACTTTTACTTTTTTAAAACAATGTTTTTTCTATGTGTGGTTTGTTAAAATAAGTATGAATAACTTTCCCAAATGCAATAAACTATCTTTATATTAATAAAAGTAAAGAAAATAAAACAACTTATAAAGACAATGTTAAAGCATGGGACAAGGCATTGCTAAGAGAAAATTAGCAAATGATAGCATTCATTATATATAAGCTAGATTAAAACTATGTAAAAATTAGATATACAGACAAGTGTAGAAATTAAAAATGAAAACAATTTATTTGTTAGTATAGCAGAATTATGGTATTTTTCCTTTCGATTTTTATTGTTATAGTGCTACATACATAAGTATACATATTTTAAAAGTTCTTACTCATATTAAGCAAAAATCTACTTCCCTATTGTTTTCCTACTTGAAAATAGTTTTGTTCTCTGAGGCCACAAAGACAGCTATCTAATTCTTTTAAAACATGACAGATCTTTAAATATTTAAAAACCTGTTCCCCTTAGGGCTTCTCTTTTTCAAATTCCTATAGGCTTCATAATATCAAGTACCATGTCTTATTCATCTTTGTATTGCCGGCAGCTCTGAAATAATGTCTTAAATGTAGTAGGCAATCAATAACATTAGACATTTGTAGAGCTGGATTTGAGATTCCTTTCATTCTGGTCACCCTTACTGAGATATGTTTTCAATTCTTGAAAAGCTTCTTAAAATAATGCTTTTAGTTCCCTCTTAGTTCCTCACACTCACTGCCTACAATGACCTTCTAAAATCTACTCCAACTATTCCTGTGGTTACAACCAGGTCCTAAAAAAACAGTTCTAGGCCGGGCGCGGTGGCTCAAACCTGTAATCCCAGCACTGTGGGAGGCCGAGGCGGGTGGATCACGAGGTCAAGAGATCGAGACCATGCTGGTCAACATGGTGAAACCCCGTCTCTACTAAAACTACAAAAAATTAGCTGGGCATGGTGGCGCGTGCCTGTAATCCCAGCGACTCAGGAGGCTGGGGCAGAAGAATTGCCTGAACCCGGGAGGCGGAGGTTGCGGTGAGCCGAGATCGCGCCATTGCACTCCAGCCTGGGTAACAAGAGCGAAACTCCGTCTCAAAAAAAAAAAAAACAAAAAAAAAACAAAAAACAGTTCTACCTGGTAAATTCAGACATTCCACTCTCTACCTACCCCATCCTTCAAGGGTGCTTCTTCATTTATACTCACTATGTCTTTACTATCTCATCAGTACATTTTGGTCAACTGACTCCTCTAATTTCCAAATCCATTATATTTTCCCTGTCTTCACATATTTCCTCAGTCCTTTTGATTTCTGAGTTCATACATTAGCTTTGTTCTTATTAATATATAGTTTAAGTTCCCTTGTCCCACAGTCCATACATCATAAGCTGGTGAAAAAATCCAATCTTGAATGGATCCAACTTCAGGATTCAAAAAGGCCTGAAGCCTTTTCCAGGCCTGTATCCAGGCTACTGAATGTGACTGGAGAAATCATACCTTAAAGAAAACTGGTTCCATTACAAATTTGGAGTTGCTGATCTCAAACGGTTACTCAGAGCTACCACACTAATCACATTATCTCATTCTCATTTGGCAAAATTTCTAACTGTAGCAACTTTCACGAAACCTTTAACCCTCTACTTTTCCATTTCTCTGAACATATGACTATCCTGCTTCCCATTCCATAGAGAAAATATAAACTGTACAATGCAAACTCTCAACTTCCTGCCATCCCCATAAGTACAGTATATTTCCAATTATATAATGCCACACAACCATTAAGAGGAGGAAGTTATTTATGTATGTGAAAAAAAAGAAAAAAGGGGAAATTACAAAACAATGTTTATGCTTATATTACAATCTTTTAAAAACATATGAATTTGCTTGAATATGCACAGTTTCTGAGGAAAGAGGAAAAACTAGATACAGTTGCCAATAAGGAGAAGAACTTAGGTAAAAGGGGTTTTTCAAGGTATATACTCTTCTATAGGTTTAGAATTTTGAACCATGTGAAATATCTTAGATAATAAATCAAACTTGTAAATCTAATCATGTAGTCTCATACTTTGTCACAGTATAGGGACTGGGGAAGGAGGAAATGGGGACAATTATTTAATGGGTACAGAATTTCAATTTGCAATGATGAAAAAGTTCTCATGATGAAAAGTAGTAATGACTGGACAACAACAGAATGTACTGTAATACATTAGAATCTACTGAAAGTCACTGAATTATATATTTTAAAATGTTTAAATGGTAAATTTTGTTATACATATTTTATTGCAATTAAAAAACCTAAAGCATATAACATACATATAGGCAACTGTATCTATTGAACTGTACATTAAAAATATTTAAATGGTAAATTTTGTTACACATTTTACTGCAATTTAAAAACCTACAATACTGACAACCAAAACCCCAAAAACCCTGCAATGCCTTCTTATTGCCATTTTGATGAAGAACAAGACTCTGTATATTATCCCCACCTAACTCAATCACTGTCTCGAAACTCTCTTCTTTTAGTTCTGGACTATTCAACTACGTTAGCATTTGACTTGAAAACTCAGTGAAGGTTGGACTATGTGGGTCTGTTCCCTAATGCATATCTGATGGCTACCACATGGGTTAGCATGTAAGAAGCATCCTAAAATACTTTCAGAATGAATGAATAAATTCAAAATTAAACTGTACTCTAGATGCAGTCTAATCAATGAATGGAGTAAAACCATCCCTTACTCCAAGTTAGCCTAGGGTTATAAAAAACCACAAATCTTTTAGAACTGAGCTATTGATAATAGGTGAGGGTTTCTCAAGTTCCTTCCATACAAAGCTGACTTTCTAAGTCTCAATACAGAATGTATATTCTATTAATATTTATCTAATTATATTTCAAACATATATCTGCCATCACTATATTAAGTACTTCTCTCAGATGTGAATCATTTGCAAATGGAATAGACGCGACCTCTATTTAGTCACGGGTGAGAACATTAAACGCAACAGTGCTAACACAGTGCAGTTCCGTAAGAGACATTTCCTTTTTTAAAAAAAATTTCCCGGGCGCGGTAGCTCACGCCTGTAATCCCAGCACTTTGGGAGGCCGAGGCGGGTGGATCACGAGGTCAAGAGATCCAGACCATCCTGGTCAACATGGTGAAACCCCGTCTCTACTAAAACTACAAAAAATTAGCTGGGCATGGTGGCGCGTGCCTGTAATCCCAGCTACTCAGGCGGCTGAGGCAGGAGAATTGCCTGAACCCAGGAGGCGGAGGTTGCGGTGAGCCGAGATCATGCCATTGCACTCCAGCCTGGGAAACAAGAGCGAAACTCCATCTCAAAAAAAAAAAAAAAAAAAAATTTAAGTTCCAGGATACATGTTAAGGAAGTGTGGGTTTGTTACACAGGTAAACGTGTGCCATGTGGTTTGCGGCACCTATTAACCCATCACCTATGTATTAAGCTCCGCATGCATTAGAGCTATTTATCCTGGTGCTCTCTCTTGAGACATTTCTTGAAGCTGACAATGACCCATTAATTAACAATCTTTGGGTATGGCTATAAATACCTTTAATTTATATTATCATCCAGCATTTTTCCTCTCATAAAAATTTAGACAAGGAATTCTCCTTAGAGATGGAACTGGTACACAATACCAATGGCAAATAACGTTTAAAAAATTGATGAATTTTGTGACAGAATAGTGTCTAGAATATCTTAATAGCAATTCAAACACAACATTAACATACCATTGGGAGATACCAGGCACTGTGGCTCATGCCTGTAATCCCAGCATTCTGGGAGGCTGAGGTGGGCGGATGGCTTGAGGTCCAGAGTTTGAGACCGGCTTGGCCAACACGAGGAAACCCTGTCTCCACTAAAAATACAAAAATTTGCCAGGTGTGGTGCCGCATGCCTGGAGTCCCAGATACTCAAGAGGCTGAGACAGGAGAATTGCTTGAACCTGGGAAGCGGAGGTTGCAGTGAGCAGAGATTGCAACACTGCATTGCAGCCCAGGCAACAGAGCAAGACTCTGTCTCACAAAACAAAACAAAACAAAACAAAGACATAATATTAGGGAAGACCAATATGTCGTCCCACAGCATACTTTTTGAAGATAGCTGCTGATAACAGGATGCTTGGCCGGGTTATCTATATGTCCTTGTTTTCTATGTAAAAGAATATTTATTAAAGTTGCCATTCCCTAAGTCTTTATTAATTCTATTAAGTGAGATAGAGCAAGCCATTTAAACTCCCCAAGTGCTTATAAAATGACAGAGGGGAACCGGGTAATCTCCAAAATATTTTAGTTTTAACAATTGATCATTCAATGTGCTAATGGTTGACAACTGAATATGCTGCCTTCTCCAAATCACGTTTGCATTTATAGTTCCTCTAAATATAATCCTGTAAAGTGAATGATGTAAGGCATTTTAGATAAGAGTTTGTCTGGTTGAGTAATAATTCTGCTGTCTGTCAAGTAAAACAAGGTAGTTGGTTACCTATACTGACTTCTCATCTCTAAACTACATTTGTATTAATACATTTCTGTTTGTCATTACTTAGGCATTTAAAATACTTTATAAAATCAAAGTTACACTTTTGCTGAAGCTTCATTTAACTTACTCTGAATACAGTCATGACATTTCAAATATAAAATATGGGTCTAGAACTGAATAACTAACCAAAATTTGCATTCTGCAAAATTATAGTGTGAAAATGACACCTTCACAGAATCAAAACATTATGGAAAAATATATAGCATTCCACAGACTAACTTAAAATGCCAGGAAGTGACTTGAGCTGAATTAGAGTCTATGGCACCATAGTGCTTTCAAGGTAAAGAAGTAAAGGAATCGCATAAAACTTCTGAAATGGAACCTGAAAGAATATGCCTTTTGAGAAGCATGATCTTAACCTTGAAATGGCTTTCTCTAGAAAACAGAATATGTCTTCCACAATCATAAAGCATTTCAAGAATATGAACTTTTTTGTGAAACAGTGTAGGCATTAATTAAGAAAGAGACAGTTATACGCTTCTTTGTCATATGACAGGTCCCAGTCAGGAAACAACAAAAAAAAGAAATGCTTATTCATTACTTAAGTTTTTCAAGTCTCCAAAAGATAAATACGTGTAAGTATGTCTGTGTTATGTGGGTAAACTTTTGGCATTGACAGTCTGCAAGAATTATGATTAAGGGCCTCCCAACAAAACCTGGCATCATGCCAAATGGACCTATAATAGGAACAAAGTGAATATTTAGGAATGACGTACCAGGAACCATGATTTTTGGCTATAAGGAACTGAAACTCTGAATTAAAATTGCTTAATAAAAAAAGAAATGTTTTACAACATGAATAAAAGAAAGGCTCCTGGATTCCTTGCATCTCTTCACTGTGCCATTAAAAAGCCTGCTCATCTAAACCCAATACCCAACATGGTCAGAAGACAGCTACCAGCAGCAGGTAGAACAACATGCTTCTTTGTTCATATTCAGCTTAAGATGCTTATCTTGTCCCCCTTCCTTGAAATAAAGCCCTTTTCTTCAGCATGCTTGGCACATGACCAACCCCAGACCAATAATAGTTGTCTGAAGAATACCATGTGCTAACTGGCTTAGAATGACCGGAATCTACCTGTGATATCGGATACAAAGTCAACTTCCCCACAGTCCTATAGGTATGTGTGTGTGTGTGTATATATATATACACATATATATACCTAAAGTAAATCAGGAATCTGTTTGGAAGAAAGATGGGGTAGGCAACTAACAGTCTACTACATTTGCTACTGTTGATTTCCTAGTGGAGGGAAGGGATATTAATCTGTGGTACTGTAGCAAAATCATTATAATAATTTCCAGGCATTGTTAAAAAAAATCACTTAGTAAAGACTAAAGATTTATTACTTTGGTCAAACTAGCATCTAAATCAATTTATAGTTTAATCAAAACTGATGTTAGTAAATTAATTATAGTCCCAGTTGCCAGAAAAACAACTAAGAACTTTGTGTCACAGAACTCTCTCAGCCCGTCACAAAAGTATATTAACTTAAAATTCTTAATAGATAGTAGCCAAATGATACTAGTTTTTCTATATTTTCTTTTATACAGAAGTAGTAAAATAAATTTAACAGTTTCAGTTATGCAAGAGCTCCTATTAGTATTTTATTTATTATAAGAAGAATTCCAGTTTTGCTCATGATTTTTAAAGTCAGTATGAAGAAACCAAACTTTGAGCTGGGAAAGATTACCCAAATCACTTAGTTCGGCCCTTTTATTCCAGAAGCTCCAAATCTAAAGTATAAGAAGTCCTTCTCCAAGATGATTGTGCTGCTTATTTTTTAATACTGTGTCAATTTTCAAAGCAATATGAAGTTATATCTGAGGAACCCCATTAATTTGACAACATCTGTGGATTTAGCAGATGAATGATGTTATTCATATCAAGAAGTTACATGGATCTAGCATACAAAAAAAACCCAAATCTAGTATTCAATGATTCAATAAACATTGGATATCATGTGCCAGGTGCTGTGTTAGCCACTGGGAATAGAACACAGGAAAAAACAAATGTTCTACCCTCGAAGAGCATCTAGCTAGTAACTCACTCCAATGGAGAACACAATGTAGGTCAATTTCCCTATCAAAATGATCATATGCCACTGCAAAGTGGTCTCTTGCTACAACTCTCCAGCCAGCTGGGTAATCACACTATGCTGAACAGTTGAACTAACAGCATGGAAAGTGGACTCCACAGTGCACAGTGGCTTCCACAGAGAAGTCTCAGAGACTGTCAGTTGGGTCAGGGCCATCAGAGGCTACCATGTTGACAATTTCAAGATATCCAGGGAAAATGTGTGTGTGTGTGTGTGTGTGTGTGTGTGTTATACAGACACATTTTTAAAAAATACAAAAGATAACACAATTTTCTGCAATTTCCTTTTCTTTTAACACTATATCTTGAAAATGAGTTGCATCAAGATTACACAGTATTCCATTGTATGGATGTACAATAATTTACAGTAAGTTTCCTATAGCTGGTTGTTATCTAATCATGTATTATTTACTAAACATGCAACTTAAATTTTGCATACATGTGCATATGTATGTGTATATCTGTATGTTCTGTATTTGACAAATATGTGAACATATATGATAAGAACATACATGAACAATTACATAAAATAGTGTATACGAACAAGTGCAGGATAAACTTAAATTTTAATTGCTAAGTTAAGTATACAGGCTTTTAAATATTTGGTAGGTATAATGAAATTTCTTTCAATAGATGGTATAGGCCAGGCATGGTGGCTCATGCCTGTAATCCCAGAACTTAAGGAGGCTGAGGTGGAGGGTTGCCTCAGCCCAGAGTTCCAGACAAGCCTGTGCAACATAGTGAGACCCTATCTTTACAAAAAATTTTAAAAAATCATCAGGTGTGGTGGCTTACACCTGTAATCCCAGCACGTTGGGAGATCAAGGCAGGTAGATCACCTGACATCAGGAGTTCGAGACCAGCTTCCCAATATGGTGAAACTCATCTCTACTAAAAATACAAAAATTAGCCAGGCATGGTGACACATGCCTATAATCCCAGCTACTTGGGAGGCTGAGGCAGGAGAATCTCTTGAATCTGGGAGGCAGACGTTGCAGTGAGCTGAGATCGCGCCACTGCACTCCAGCCTGAGTGACAGAGCAAGAAACCGTTTTTTAAAAAAACAAAAAATTAGCTAGACACGGTGCTGCATGCCCATTGTAACAGCTACTAGAGAGACTGAGGTGGGAGAATCACTTGAGCCAAGGCAGTTAAGGCTGCAGTGAGCCATGATCGTGCCACTGCACTCCAGCCTGGGTAACAAAGCAAGACACTGACTCAAAAAAACCCCAAAGTAGATGGTATAGCCATTACATTTCTTTCAGCAATGTAAGACAGCTCCTGTTTCTTTATATGCTCATCGATATACTGTTTTGTTAAATGTTATAATTTTTATAGCTATAATAGGTAAAAATCTGTCTTATTGTAGTTTCAATTTGAATTTTATTGATTAGATTTCTATAGTTAAAACCTATTTGTATTTCCTTTATGATCAATTATTTGTTAACATTTTTTGCACATTTTTCTCAGTCATTGAAATTAGCCTTCTCTTTAATTTGCAACACATAAATAATTTTTCCTTAATTAGAAATTTCTTTTTACTTTAGATATATTTTCTAGAAGGATGACAACTTTCAAATTCTTATGCAATCAAATATATTCTTTTTTATGACTTCCCTACAACAAAGTTATAAAAGAATTCCTCTATGTTTTACTTAGGGTTTTATTTAAAAATCTTTAAATATTTTATTCATCTGAAATTAATTTTTGTATAAAAAAAGGGAAAAGAAATCCTTACCTGCTCCCCTTGTTTTTAAAGACAGAGTCTTGCTCTTGTTGCCCAGGCTAGAGTGCAATGGCGCAATTTCAGCTCACTGTAACCTCTGTCTCCTGGATTTAAGTGATTCTCCTGCCTCAGCCTCCCAAGTAGCTGGGATTACAGGTGCCCGACACCACGCCCAGCTAATTTTTGTATTTTTAGTAGAGAGGGAGTTTTACCATGTTGGCCAGGCTGGTCTCAAGCTCCCGACCTCAGGTGATCCACCTACCTCGGCCCCCCAAAGTGCTAGGATTACAGGCGTGAGCCACTGTGCCCAGCCCCCTTTTTTTAATACTCTAGTTTTTCATAACTTTCTTTACAATTGTTACTTATGTTTTCAAATAATATTTAGAATCAATTTTCTGGATCTACAAGAAAAATTGTCTTTTATTGAATATACTATATTTATAAATAAATTCAGAAAAAAGTAAAATCTTTATAATATCAAGTCTCTTCATCAAATAGGAGCATGTCTTTTTTTTTTTTTTTTTTTTTTTTT